GTGTAGGAGGGAGAGAGGGAGAAGGGGCGACCTACCTGGGTGTGTACGCCGTTGTTCAGAGAGCGGGTCGCGCTCATGATCCGGAGGCATAGGGACGAATGGGCTGTTTATGGCCGATCGAGTGAGCAGGTGCGGCCGCCTGTGTTGGGTTGCCCAGATCGCTTGCACCTTGCAATGAGAGCTAGCTTGCGAAGGTAGAGTTGTCAGTGCCGACCGAATTGAAAGTCGAGCTACTGTGCCAAACTACGCACTAACCCAATACGGGTCGACGAGGTATATGGCCGAATCCCGGGGGAGGGCTCCATCTCGTGGCACAGCTTGTGACGGCGGGCAAAGACTGTAGCCGTGAAGCGAACGGCCATAGATAAACGAAAGGAGGGAGAGATCGCCTACCTATCTTGGGGGTTGGTGATGTGTGGTGTACGTGACCAGGTTACGGCAGTAGAATCATCCAGTCTGGCTCCTTCGGACAGAGGGGGCTACGGCTGCCTTGCCAGGCTTGCTGTGCTTCCAACAAATATGGCAACACAGCTCGCTGTGTGCCCTGCTGATTCGTGACCACTACTGGTCTGCTAAGTTGTTGCTAAGCCATGGCACGAACTGCTGCGCTGCGTTGAGTAAGGCTCTGTAAAGTCATGTGACTGCAGTCGCACCATAGGAGACGAAGGCAGGGTAAGGAAGAGTGGTCGGCCTGTGTGAGGGGATTAGTGCTCCGATTAGGAGGATGTCAGAAGGCAGTTGGTTCAGCAATTGGACGTCAGTTTTGACCAGGATCGTGTGTTTTGGCTGCCATTGCGGGGCCCTCAGGCGCATCGAGATTTGAAGGCGCTCTCAAGCGAGTCTGAGCGCACCTTTCTTGAATCTGAGAAACTCAACCTTCTTTTTCTGCTCTTCCTACTCTAAGTCTAGTCCTTTGGCTCTTAGAGGAAGGCGGCAGGCGGGCCTGTGACCCGTAGTCCGTGCCAAGGCCTCTGTGGGAGGTTGCCCCACCGATTGCGGGAGCTCTGCCGGGACTCAGGTGGAGTCGTGG